TATGCATACAAATAAATAAAAAAATCGTAAAATAGTAACAATTTTATTTAAAAAAAAAGTGTACATAACTAAATATTTCCTACTATTCATTAAGATTTACATTTATTTTAAGTAACTACATCATTTTTAAGTATGAATAAACTTATTTAGAATTATGGTAACAATAAATGACCAAGTGGTGTTCAAAATTTTCTAACAAAAACTTGTGGGTTCTGTCTGAGTACATATATTTATATATGGAAAAACTTCGTTCAACATCAACTGATGTAACGGGAGCATTTTTCAAACTAACCAAAACATTTGGTTCTAAATTAATTGTTTCCGAAATATTTTCAGCTAGAACACTGACTACTTCAGAAAGAATAGGTAGCCTTTATTTTTTTTTATAGTAGCTTTAATTTTTTTTAAATATCTTTTCCAATATTACCTCTAACGTTCCGACAACATGACGCAAATTCTTTTATTAATGCTGTACTTTCGAACAATGATAGTTTTGGTGATTCTAACTGAGTAATTGTTTTTTGAACAAAACTAAAATTTGATTTTATAAATGAAAGTTCTTGTTGAAGCAAGTTACTCTGAAAAGTTTGTTTAGAATCCAAAAGAGATTGGGAACTTTCATCTGTTAACGTATCAATTATGTTCTTTATTTTAACAAAATGATCTGCATAAAAATTAGCTGCTTCTAACCATGTTCCCCATCGCGTTAAAATAGGTTGTGGTGGAAGAGGAATGTTAGGTAGCATTTCTTTATAAAGTTGAATTCTTATAGGAGATTTAAGATATACTTTTTTGACACTGGATATCATGGTATTTACAAGAGGAAACTTTTTTCGTATTTTCTCTGCAACTCTGTTTAATCCATGCGCTACACAAGTAACATGTATTAAATCTGGTAAAAATATTTTTAAATTTTGTCCTGTTTTCACCATATAAGGAGCAGCATCCGATAAAATAAGCAGTAATTTATTAGAAGGAATAGTTGTCGGAAGAAAAAAAGTTGCTAATGTTTCTTGTATAAAACGCGAAATTGTTAAAGCATTTGTTTTCTCAAGTTGCTGGCATGAAATAAGATGAGATTTTGGTAAGGTATCTTCTTTAAAACACCAATCAATAAATGAGCAATATACTTTCCTGAGGAATCAGTGGTTTCGTCTACAGATATGTAAAAATAATTATCTGCAATTTCTTCCTTAATATTAATTAACACCGACGAGTATAGCCGGTTCACATTATTTCTTCTTACAGACCGATCACTTGGAACACTAAGTTTGCAATATTTTTTTAGAAACGAACTAAAATTTACATTTGCTAATTTTGAAAGCGGTATGTTTGCAGACACTTATACGCGACACAAGTCTTCATTAAAAGTTTCTTGCTCATCTAATTTTTTTGAAGTAGATTGGAAACATTTAGCCATTGAAGTTTGATGTTTTCCTCCTATTTTTCCTTTTTTTGCAATGTGTGAAGCAGTTCTTACATGTTGATCTATCTGAAATTTCTTCTCACATGCTATCTATAAATAAAAATAAAAACCTTTATTTTAACCCAACCTTTAAAATATAAAAATATACAAGGTGTTTTTGGTTAATCAAATAACTGGTTTGGAAAAAAAAACACTCGATAAGTGTTTTAAATGCAGTATTAATCCACAAATTAGTTTTTGTTACTAACCATTAGTACATCATATAACTTATTTTAAAATTCAACAAAAGTTTTTTTTTTGTTAATTCAATTACAATAAAAATAATTGTGTTTTAGAATAGCTGACTTCATAAAAGAAAGTAAAGGTGAAAAATTTTTCTAAATACACACCATTGTATTGTACCATGGACAATTTTTTTCTCACTAAAGGAAGCTATTTTTCATTTAAAAACAACCTACGAGTACTAAATTTCAAGTAAATACGTTTATTGGTTTTAAAGTTATTGTTGTTATTAACTAAAAGAATTTAATTTTTTTTAATTTTAACACCCTGTATCTCGAAAAGCAAATAAGTTTGACCCCTCATTAACTATATCGTTTTGTTCAATTTTTCGAGAAGTATCTACAGTCAAACGTTGTAAGTGTCATTTGGAAACACCCTGTATGTATGAAATATTAGATATTTAATAGAAAATATTAGATACTTACAATTTTGCCACAGACTGAACAGTAGATTTTTCCCATATCCATAGACAGCTCTTTATAAGGTTTAATCCAAGTTGAAGCACTGGTTGTTTTAGGCATTATAAAATCACAATCTTCCTTTTTGTTACGCACAACGAGTGTTTACGCCTTGAATATCAAAACAAAAATGATTTACAAATCTGAGCATCAAATTAGAAATGTTTACTTACCTAATTCAATAAACTGGGAGATTTTGGAAAATCCCTAAATTAGGAACAAAACTATTAGCCGTTTACCTGCTGTTAAGATACAATAAATTGTAGATAGATTTGGGGATTAGATCATAAAATGCAAATGAGCGAACCCTTAGCGATTATCCAATAACTGAATGCCTCAGTGACCGAGACTTTCTGAGAATGTTGAGGGCTACTTAAATTGATCTTCTTTGAAATTGTAAATGTTTTATACCTGTAGAGATTACTTACTTAGATCATTTTTTGATTAAAATTACTACAAAATTTTATACAAGAATTGAAATAAATTGGTATGTTTAAAAATTTCAAATACAGTATAAAAATCTGAACTTTTATGCACTTTATGCAAACTTTTATACAAATATGGCAAAATATGAAATATTTGCATAAAATATGCACAATATGCAAAATATGCAATATGCATATTTGCCGAAGTCTATTTATAATGGTATATTGTTATGTGGGTTTATAGTTCGTGGTCTGGAATTATTTTTCTAGATAAGTTCCGTCAGCTACTGGCCACATTGTCAAAAGCAGTGTGGTGATGAAAATAGTTGTTTATTATTGACTGATGTGATGAGCAATAGTCGATGAAATTGTAAAAACACCAAATTGCCACGAAAAGAATCCTTCAGTTAAAGCATTATTGAAGTATGTAACGAAATATTTTGCCTACCACATAAGGTATTACTATGGGGGTTGAAATCTTGGGACAGAAATTATTGGGAGTGGAGATAGGGCCAGCAAAGTAAACGATACTTATGTGAACGGCACTCAGGGTTTATTTGGAGAGCTGGAGTCATGGATAAATGAATGAAGCAATGGGATTATATAGGGGCATCTAAAAAAATAAACAAAGGGGTTCTTACATGAATCTGCTTGGCAGATGGACAAACAAAAACAACAAGAAGGGCCTCTAGCTATTTAAAATGGACGCCGCTTCGAAGAATCCTACTACTGGATGAAGGAAAAAGGCTGTTTTTTCCTAAAAAAGAAACACAAAAGGGGTTAGGAGACTTTTCTAAAATAGGAAATAAACAAATTGGTTAGAGAAATAAATTAAACATTTATTGTTGTCTAAACAGTAGTTACAAAGTTGTATATCAAAGTAATAAAGACGAAAAACTTACATATGTCCTATTCGTTTACAAACTCTGTTTACAAGTGGGAGATGCTACAAAACTTACAAAAAATTGTTACTGGCCTATAAACTGTGGCAGAAATGAGTCATTACAAATAAAGAAATATCTTTCTAGATAAAACTAACTAAAACTAAAACTAACATAAAGGTTAGCCTTTTTCTAAAAACAAAACATACCAATGTTAATAAAGCTAGTTGCTAGCTGTCATATGTTAACATTAAATTTTACAAAGAGAATAAATAAAATAACAGCAATGGTCACACCCTAAAATCTACAATTTTATTTATTATAGTTTAAATTGATATGAAATCATTTATTATTTTAAACAGTTTATTTTTACTTTAAAAGTTTAAAACAAAAAAAAGTTACTTTGGTTTAATTAAAATGAACTTGAGTTGTAAAATGGACTTACTAAAATTTCTGGAGGTAAGAACTGGAATTATACTGGAGATTTACTGCTACGCACGAACAAAAGGGACTGCATTTATGGTCTGGAACGACGACCAAGGACAAACACAGGTGAGGTTGAAACTGGTACTAGATACCTACAAACTTCAGACTGGGCTTCTTAAAAAAACAAGAAACTGGAACTTGTGGATATCTTTCAAAATTTGTAGACGACACAAATCTCTTAGATACTTAGAAATAGTAATTATTCTTCAAACCTTGACATATTACATAGAGTATAGTTGACTATTTTCAACAAATTTTGTCGGTTTCTTTACCGACTAACTAAAACCTCTGCTTCAATAGCTCATTTTTGCTAACCTGAATTCATCCGACCTAACTAATACCGGCCGGGGCTACCAGTTTTTGCGCCTCACAATCTTTACTGCTTCTGGTAATAAAATTGCAGGGGCAAGCAAACCCTAAATCTCGTACAATAACCTTGAATCACTTTCAGCTTTTAAAATCTCAAAGCTAACGCATGTAAATATATTTGTACCATATTTTCGTCATAGTTAATAACTGGAATTTGGAATTCTTTTCTTTACGTCACAAATAAACAGAAATATTTATACTCAGGCCAGGGACGTACTACAAAATTTTATGCTACGAACATAGTTCAGGAATTTTTATCATACTACAAGTATGGTAGAAAGTTCAGGTTCTTCTCAATATTAATAGCCTAAGCTGTAGAGAAAAAATCATGTATTAATTAGTGAGTTTTTAAAAACACTACAACGTTATGAAGACCAATGCCTGGAGTAACCTCCAAGTGCGTGCAATTTCAAACTGTTGGTGATAATATTTATTTTCACTTACATATTATTTGTTATTTTACCTTGGATACGTTTACTATAAACCTACTTGTTATATTCTAGTATAGGGAATAATAAGCTGGCTTTGTATGACAATGCCCTGTTGTATTCGAAAAAAAAGCAAAGGATATAGCTCGTAGTGGTTTTTGCTATAGCTCTATACTTATGCCCAGAATGGAGGAATCTACATTACTCTCCAGCTTTGCATGAACCCATCAAGAAGAAATAACAGTCTACTGACTTTGAAGGGTACGATCTCTTTGGGTTAATGCAACAAACAGATTTTCAAGAGCATAGCCTATATTGGGTAAGGCCAAATTCTTGATGTCATAATTGCACACGATTTTCTTCAAATTAGTTAGAGCACGACATATAACCTCGTAGCTTGCCTTGTCTGTATACGACTTCCTGGTCACCATATACAGCAAAGATCTAGGACCACCTTTTAATCTCAGTACTCTTCCAACCTTAGGCTGCTGATTTTTCAATTCATCCAAACAACCGAACTTCTTATAGAATACGGACAAGATTCCTTTAGTCATCTCAAGATATTTGGCACCACAGTGGGCTAGTGAGACGGGATGCGGAACACTAAAAAGATCCTGCTGAAAAAGAAGCTTATGGATGAAAGAAGGAAGCTGAACAAAGAAGGCAAAATAAAATCTATAGAATATGTAAAAATCAATAAAACAATAAGCAGAATGATAAAATAAAATAAGAGAAAAGAACAAGAAATAAAAATAGAAGCACAACAAACATAAGAAATGCTTAAGGCTGAAATTAGGTAAGTTTGAAATAAACAAAATAAAAGATGTAAACGGAGTAGAAACAAACATTAAATATGATATCACAAATATAATTCATCATTTCTACTCAGAATTATATAAAACAAAAAAAGAACCACCAGAAGAAATTAAAAACCAGCTTAGGACTAAAATAAAAAAATGTCAACTCAGAGCTACAACCAGAAATAAGCAAATCAGAAATAAAGAAGGCATTGTAATTCCTTGAATTGGTAATGCAATAAAGGCATTGTAACTGAAGTGGTAATAAATACTCTACATTCCCTTTTTAACAGGATATTAAAAGAAAAAAGAATCAAAATCAACTGGAAGGAATCCGTAACCATTATCCTACACAAGAAAGGGGATAAAGCAGACATAAAAAACTACCGTTCTATAACACTCCTCAATGTAATGTATAAAGTACTAAAAAAAATTTAACCAATAGATTGACGACAAAATTCGATGGATACCAATCGAAAGAACAAGCTGGCTTTAGAAAGGGATTCAGCACAAGTAACCATTTACTAAGTATGACAATACTTATAGAACGAGCAAATGAATACCACATTCCTCTATATATGGCATTCATAGATTTCGAAAAGGCTTTCGGCAATGTCGAACATTAAGCAGTGAAAGGTTTTTTGATTAACAGCAGAATTGACCACAGATATACGAAACTAATAGCCAATATATAAGGAAGCCAAAACAACAATTAAAATATATGAAGGAACAAAATCAATACAAATAAATAAAGGCGTGAGACAGGGTGATACAATATCATCGAAAATTTTCATTTGGGCTCTGGAAGATATTTTTAAAAGATTAGAATGGAAAGAAAAAGGTATAATAATTTGTGGACAACGCTTGAACCATCTAAGGTACGCTGATGACATCGTATTGATAACCGATAAATTTATAAATTTCGTTTTATAAAAAAAATATCTTGATGACATAATATTAGCATTACCAAGTACAGGAATAAATGATATACTTTGGTATTACAATAGTTACAACCCCTACATTCAATTTACATTAGAATGTGAAGATGCTACAGGTTCAGTACCTTTTTTAGATACGAAGTTAATACGAAAAGGTACCCATTTGCTGGTTGATTGGTACAGAAAACCTCTCAGTTCAGGTCGATATCTCAATTATTGGTCATACCATAAATATTCAATGAAACTTAATTTAGTTAAAGAAATGAAAAATCTTTTCCTTAAAATCAGTGATACCTCTTTCCATACAAAAAAATCTAAAAATCCTTTATAACCTGATGATTGAAAACTCATACCCAAGTATACTACTAAAGAAAATTTTGTTTAACACTCCACAAAATTTAAATAGTCATTTAAGAAACGAAGAAAATATGTCTTAGCTTGGAATAAAAATTTAAAAGAGTACACTTTTCATTTTTATTGCTGCATACCCAATATTTAAAGTTTACTTCCCTACGTGGTCAGCAAATACTTCTAGTTCATTATATATATATATATATATATATATATATATATATATATATATATATATATATATATATATAACACCACTTGTACTAAAATAGGTTTTCCATTTAGGTACCGGAAATTTCACATTTAGAATAAAGTTCTACACCAAACTGGCTTATACCATCTCTAGCTGATCCTTGTTTTGACGCTTTCCCGAAAGTTACCCTCCAAAGAATTGTATTCTTAGCGTCGTTATACACACTCTATTTATATATATATATATATATATATATATATATATATATATATATATATATATATATATATATATATATGCTGTCACTATTTTTCCGGGTTTGACTCCGCGTTGTAAAATGCTGGTTTTCTTGAAAAACATTGTTTTGGCGACGTTTCGGCAAGGTCTCACTTGCCATTCTCAAGCCTGGTGGATCTACTTCTCGTCGTTACTCGATTAGTACTGATTAGTACTGATTAGTACTAATCGAGTAACGACGAGAAGTAGATCCACCAGGCTTGAGAATGGCAAGTGAGACCTTGCCGAAACGTCGCCAAAACAATGGTTTTCAAGAAAACCAGCATTTTACAACGCGGAGTCAAACCCGGAAAAATAGTGACAGCACATATAGCTCCCGCGGAAACCTCAAAACAAACGTAACTCAGATATATATATATATATATATATATATATATATATATATATATATATATATATATATATATATATATATATATATATATATATATCTGGGTTTAAACTATAAAACTTAACAAAGAAAACCAAACAGCAGAGATAACATGACGAGTTAGACTGGTATGGGCGGCCTTTGACAAACTAAGCTACATTCTTAAAAACAAAAGATATCCACAGCATCTTAAGACCAAAGTATACAATCAATGCGTACTCCCTGTTCTTACTTATGGTTCCCAAACTTGGACATTAACAAAAGCAAATATGGACAAAATTATAAAAACCCAAAGAGCAATGGAAAGACAAATGTTGCACATAAGGCTAATGGATAAAAAGAGAAACGAGTGGATAAGAGAGAAAACAAAAGTGAGGGATATTAGACAAGAAGTTGCAAAATTGAAATGGAGATTTGCCGGACACAATATAAGACAAAATGAAGACCGATGGAACAAAATTCTTATAAGTTCGAGACCGTGGGAATATAAACGAAGCAGAGAAAGGCTCCAAATGACACTGACAGATGATATCAAGAAGCACGTAGGCTCTAGGTGGATGACTGTAGCGACAGAAAGAGAAGAATGGAAAAGGATTGGGGAGGCCTACGTCCAAAGATGGACTGGAGAAGGCTAATTAGATAGATAGATAGATAGATAGATAGATAGATAGATAGATAGATAGATAGATAGACCAAAATCTCCGATGACTGGTTTACTTTTTTTGCAAAAAAATCCACCATTAAAGGGTTAAATATAAAGTTATAGTTTAATGTTAATATTAAGAGTAAACCTAGTCGCGGAAATAGCAGATGAAGAAAAATAATGTTTAGAGTGTTGAACGCATAAAAAAACTTCTATTACTAATGTACTAGTCTATTATTTTAGGACGCCCCCCTCTTGGTATTCCCAAGTTATTACATATCTCTACGAGGCGAAAGTTGAATTCCTTAAATGAATTTTCCCTACGCATTTGCTAATCTATCAGCAGGTTTGTATTTTTCTTTTACTCTATACTATCAAATATTTCATTTATGTAATCAAATACCAATGAAATATCTCAAAATTAGCTATATTTAGGTTCAGTTACATTTAGTTTACACTATATCACACATCTGTTATGACGGCTAAGAAAATATTACAAAAAGAAAGACTTTACGCCCCATTAAACAGTCTGATTAGTTGTATACCTGACCTATTCACGAAAAAACCTATTTACACCGTCAATAAAATATTCCACCAACAAAAAGCTCCTCGAACCAGTCCCGTTCTCGACAAAGGACCTTTGAAAATGTTTTCTGAAGAGCACTATTATGTATTAAAAGATTATACTACTCGAGATTCTACTTCCTCGTACTAACAAGCCTTCCTACAAAGACTTTATGAACCGAAAAATATTTTGAATTACTGCCGTGAACGCTATTGTGGATTTCTGTGCTGCTCGCAAAACGGACTTTTATTTCTTTGGACTTTTTTCTTTTACAGCCAAGAATCTTGCGATGAGTTCGCAATAGAATTTATATTTTAGAAAAATTTTGGAATATATAGTGGCTTTATTACGTACTTGGGTTGATTTATCAAAGGGTATTGATAAATGGTTATCCTTTGAGACGGATATTTAGAGAAAACTCAGTTTGCCGCTAGTTTGGAGTGCTAGGGATCAAAAACTATCATGCACGTGGATACTGAAATAAAATTGAGAGTTTTGTCTGTATTATTCGAATGTTGTACTATGATTTGGCCACGGTTAAATCCAAAATGAAATAAGGTGGTTATGAAGATTTGTATTTTTTATATTTGTCTATAGTTTTTGCAAACTGTTGCTTTGAGAGTTTACAAAACAACAGTTTACAAAAACAACAGTTTTAGGACTTTGTTGTTTCCGCGAATCTCCTAACGTTGAAAGGTAAGTATACGGAAATTCTTATTTACATCTTCTTAAAACTTTTTGCGATAATCGTCAAAACTATTGTGCCCCCTTTTAACGTAGCTATATTGTTTTTAAAATAATAATAATGTCAATTTTAAATCAAAGTCAAACATGATTAGGCGAATGAAACCATAGGTTTCGCAGTCAATATTTCAAGCACACACACATATTGTGCCCGTTGTGTGTTCGTTGAGGTTATGTATACATAGTTGCCATTTCTTTCAAACGTTCCCATCACAGGGAAATTAAGTGGGCCATATCACCCTGACAATTCGGGTTAGTTGGCTCACAAATGTTCGCTAGGTAGAGATGGCCAAGCTCTTTAGTTACTAGAATTGTGGCGATATGCAAAACTTTGGAATACAAAATCTTACAAAAATGTTAGTCCAAAACGCTGAGGATCATGGCAGATACTTATTGGTATGTATCCAATAACATAAGACCTGAGAATATCGTTCATAAAAGACACTATACACGAACATTTAGTGCCAAGTACAGAAAGACTTAGCACTAAACTTAGACCACGATAATAAACTAATCAACGCTCTTGTCAATGCTTCAGAAAGAATTAGAAGACTGAAAAGACAGTGGCCAGAAGTTCTGGTTACATGAATCAAGGTGAATCGGCACTAGTTGGCAACAACCACAAGCTATCATAATCAACCAATTTGTTAAATACT